AGGATGCAGTGAGATAGATTGCAGCACAGATGGGGATTCGGTAGAGGCAGTCTGGGTGAAACTTAGGGGTTCTGACAGGGAAAGAGGCCTGACAGTGGGGATATGTTATTGCCCTCCAGGTCAACTTGAGACCCTGGATGATGTCCTGACAGACCAGATTCTAAGGATATCTCAGGGGAGAGACACAGTAATTATGGGAGATTTCAATCTCCCGGATATTAGTTGGGAGACTCACTCGGTGGTGACAGTCAGGTCACGTAGCTTCCTAGAAGCTATAGAGGGAGGGTTTTTCACACAGAGGGTCCGAGAGGCGATGTGGGGGGGACATCCTTGACTTGGTCTTGACCAATAGGGAGGAGCTGATAGATGAAGTACAGATTAGGGGAGCTCTGGATGCGAATGATCACTCCATCCTTTGCTTTCAGATCGGGAATGGGGATGAATGGCAGGTCAAGTGTTAGAAGTTGGGACTTTACAAGGGCTGACTTTGGTCAATTGAAGGCCAAACTAAGGAAAGTCTCCTGGTATAGGTTACTGAAAGGCAAGGGCGTTGAAGGGGGTGGTTGGCACTCAAAAGGGAGGTTTTGGAGGTGCAAGCCTTGACGATACCTCTAGTTAGTAAGGCAGGGAGGCGAAGGAGAGTGCCGCCATGGGTGTGAAAGGAGGTGGTTAGAGGGATTAGACAAAAGAGGAACCTCCGTAGGAAATGGGTACTGGGGCAAATAGACAAAAGGGTATACCAGGAGGAGGAGGCCCGTTGCAGAAGGATTCTTCGCAAGGCTAAGGCTGATTACGAGCTGAGACTTGCCAAGAATATCAAGAGCAACAAAAAGGGCTTCTTTCAGCATGTAAATAGGAAGAGGAAGGGGAGACAAATGGTAGGACCACTAAATAAGGAGGAAGGCGATCCAGTGACTGGTATGACTATTTTGCCTCTGTGTTCTCCCCAAAGCAGGATGGGGGATATCCGCATAGGAGATTAGATGAGGCTGGGGACTTAGGGGCACAGATTAGTCACCCCCCCCTTGAAGTTGAGGGGCTCCTCAGGGCACTGGACATTACAAAGGCGCCAGGCCCTGACGGGTTACACCCGAGAGTAGTGAGAGAGTTGGCAGGGCTTCTCTCACGCCCGCTGGCCTCCATTTTTGAGGCCTCGTGGAGAATGGGTGAAGTTCCAGAGGACTGGAGGGTGGCATCAGTGGTCCCAATTTTCAAAAAGGGTGGTAGAAGGGACATGGGGAATTACAGACCTGTTAGCCTTACGTCCATTGTAGGAAAAACAATGGAAAGGCTCATAATAGAGAGTGATCTAGTGATGCTAGATAGGGAAAGGAGGCTGACAGCCACAAGACATGGCTTCTGCAAAAACAGGTCCTGCCAGACAAACCTTGTGGAACTCTATGACAAGGTTTCGAGATGGCTGGATGGAGGGGATGCAGTGGATGTGGTATACCTGGATTTCAGCAAGGCCTTTGACAAAGTGCCCCATGATATCCTGGTTGAGAAACTGAGGAGTTTTGGGATACACCAAAGCACTGTCTAGTGGATTAGGGCATGGTCGCCTGACCGAAAGCAGAGGGTAACCATTAGTGGGGAATCATCGGGATGGCGGCCAGTGACAAGCGGGGTCCCCCAGGGCTCTGTCCTGGAGCTGATCCTGTTTAATCTTTTCATCAATGACATGGAAGAAGGGGTGAACAGTCTGCTGATCAAATTCGCAGACGACACTAAAACTGGAGCAGTGGCCACAACTGAGGAGCAGGTACTCCAGATCCTTCCAGACTATGGAAGAGGGCAGGAGCCCACAGGATGGCGTTCAGTGTGGATAAGTGCAAGGTCTTGCACTTGGGACATAGGAATAGGTGTCATAAGTACAGGTTAGGGGACAAGTG